TTTCTTGCTGTGGTGGCTGCTGCATCTGTTCTGCAATTGTCCGGTCTGTCGAAGGCATTTGCAATGGTTGGGATTAGTTCATTAGTGTTGTTTAGTGTCCTAGGTATGGAACACCAAACCTGGAGGGGTGCTGGTGTTTGCACCTCCGTGCGCTACCTGGATCTTCCTTAGTTCCAGTGTGACTGGACGTAGTTGGAGCCGTCCTGAAGGCAATGGATGCAAATGCGTGACTCTTGCAAATATTTTTGCACACCGTATGATCTACGTGCTACTCAGCAGCTGATATGTTTCATGCAGTTGGGTAAAGCTAGTGTGAGGCTACTGTGCACACATGTGTTCTTACAACAACCAGCCGCGTGAGGTTGTACTTTGCTGTGAAGCGCAGGGTGAGGATCCTAATTGAGCAGCCGGCGAGTTCAGCAACTTGGCTGGACTAGCTGCAGAGATCTTGCAGCCACTAGGATTGGAGTCTATACTAGGCGATATTTTTGATTTGTACTTTCTAGGTATATTGCTTTCGATCTGTCAAAAAACTCAGTCAGCGCAAGAGAATTTAAAGTACTGTTTTGACTGACAACAATCAGCCCAAAGCTGGCCATAGTTCATTTGGCTTCAGGGTCCATCTTGGGAGGGTTACAGCCTTCAATGGGTGTAAAAACCACTTTCCTTTTTGAGTCTAAGCTGCAACACTCCAAATGGACCCCGACATTCAAAGACCTGTGCACACACTAGATGAGGTTCTTTGGGTGTGGCCACCTATGCGGCGCTTCTTACGATGGTCTGGGTGCAGGACTATGTTTCCAAAGTATACTGCGTCGAATGCATTGGCCAAGAGGCCACAAAGCCAAGACTACCTTTAAAACAGTACTTTCGTGTTTTATGGTCTTCGCATCTGACTTTGCCATGTATGATTGAAATCAACTGGCCATGATCATGCATGGCACGACCTAAATAGCAAGCTGATCTGTCTGTTTTGAAACCCGCAGCCCAGTTGCAGGAGGGTGGCCTTTCCCATGGGTGCCTATGGTGGAAAAACACTTAAGATGACAGTGCCCCTTGATGGCAGCCAAGGTTTGTGCATAAACAATGGGTGGGGCAGCTGTTGTCAAAGGTCATTATGACATCGACCATATGGCGACCTAGGATTTGGTACTGGTGTTGTTATCGAAGGTTATTATCATGTGCAACAATGGCCTTGGCACTGGTGTTGTAGAATGGCGACCTAGGATTTGGAGCAACTTGCCCAGCATCCACAGCCTACACCGGCCAATACCTATAAAGCTTCTCAAAGAAACGTTGGCCAGGAGACAGTGGGGGAGTTGGTGATCTTGAGATGCTTTTGGGGGCACAATTGTGGCTCACGAGTAATGCATGCAGGATTGATTAAGAATCTATTTTTGTGGCACACAGGTTCAGGTTGCTAGGTCACACAAGCCCAAATAATCGAAGATTGAGTCATGGCTGGGATATCAAAAGTGGTCATCTTCTACAACCTCACCCAAAACCTGCAGAGCCATTCACATGACAGTATGTGGTGGCCAAACTGCTAGGATCAATGGAAAGTCGGACCTGGTCAAGGTGGAGCAAAAGTCCGGAAGAACTACTGTGACTGGGAATTCGGCAAAGCTCCGCGAGTCAGCCCACTATCCACTTCAATTTGGGCTGGCAGTGGCAAACCTGATCAATCCCAAGGGTTCTCCAGACACTTCTACGGACTGAGTTGGGATGTGTTGTATGCGCAGTAACTGTTAATTCTGGATCCAATTGGCGGTAGGTCAACTTGCGTGACCAAGGGCATTAATGGTTCTTCAAATTGATATCCCAATTTGAGGTCACTTGGGCCTCTAAAAGGTCACTTAGGCACTTCAATTAGAGCCCTGCACTTGAACGATCCCAACTACCATTCACACTTGCCCCCTGTGACTCACCCACTCTACCCTGAGGAGATCACTATAGGTGCTGCAGACCCAGACTGGTCCGATGATGAGGGCGCCATAGATGACCTAATCAAGGGTCGTTCCCGGGCCAAGTGGCGGTGGTGGTAGGCCACTTGACAGGAACCAAACTGCAGGAAGGAAATTGATCTGATTGCAAATTGTGCATGCATTGTAGCACTTGGAAACATCGAGATCGATATATATATTTATATTAGCTGGTATATATTAGTCGCGCATGATATTGTGTGATGCATATGAAGCCATTCGTGCTCCTGCCAGCTGTAAACCAAAACAACTTGGAAGTTGGAAGGGCTATGAACAGGAAACTCCGGCGCTGGGTAGCTTTTCTGCAAGCCATGTCGGGTGAACGGATCTGCCTTTCTTGCTGGGCGGAGTTTCTACAACCTTACTTAACCAGGCTGATATGCATGCATGCGTGCAATATCTTTTTTGTTGTACTGGCTGCCACTGGCCGCCAACTGTTTCATGACTCATGACATAGTCGCTTGCAGGGAAGAGTACCAAGAGCTGATCCAAATCTCACGAGACTGCCGATGTGATCTCGATGATTGAGAATGTGGCATGATGGCTAAATTTGATTTTCACCATCCACCGCATGCAAGTCTAATTCGATCCGGGTGATTACATTCGGATGAGGTGGCACGTTAATTTACAAATTGAACAATACCCAACATCCCACACCACGATCCGCAATCAACATCCCTGTTCCATTGGGCCCCGGGCCACCTTTTGACTTTCTCAAGCACCTGTGACGGCACAAGGTCCAGCATAGCACATGGTGCCTCGATATATCACTGCGATATAGTGGTCCTAGCGCAGAAATATCGAGATTGGTCTTTTGGAACTGCACAGTGTGCAAATCACTCTAGAATGTGCGTGTCAGTGCGTGTCAGTTGCGTGTCAGTTTGTATATCGAATGCAATATCGAATGGTCACTTAGATATATCGAATGGTCACTTAAGCCTTCCAGTAGTCACTTAGTGTCCACTTGTCTGGATTTGTATATCGAGACTGGTGCGTGTCACTTGCGTGTCAGACTCGGCTCATTTTGTGGCATTTTGCCACTTTCTGGGGACTCGCGATATCGACCCTAGAGGCCTGAGTTTTGGGTTGAGCCAGGATTCATGAATCAATTTCAGAAACGCGATCTAGTCTCACCAAAATCTACCATATCGATGACCCGGCCATGTTTTTCAGGACCCATGGCCAAAGCAAAGCAAACTGTCAAGTCTCGAGAGGTTGCATCAAGCTCAGGTGATGCATACAGGGCTGCCAGGGAAGAGAAGAAGGTTGTGAAAGAACCGACCGAGAAGACATCGAAGGAGGCTGAGAGGTTGAAGAAGAAGGATAAGAAAACGCGGGTCGAGGCTGACCTGGATGAGAAGACTTCAAATATGGCTGACACAGAAGAAAAGAAAGGATCGAAGGCTGAAACGAAGACTTCCAAAGAGGCGGAGAGCTGGAAGGAAAAGGAGGACAAGAAGATTATGAAGGAACCTGCCAAAGAAGCAATGACGGAGGAAAAGATTGAAGTGAAGACTTCCAAGGAGGCTGGGAGTTTGAAGGTCAAGGAGAAGAAGGAAAAGAAGACTTCAAAGGAGGCTGACACAAAGAAGGCTGGCATAGAGGAGAAGGTCAAGGAGAAGAAGGAAAAGACGACTTCAAAGGAGGCTGGCATAGAGGAGAAGGTCAAGGAGAAGAAGGAAAAGAAGACTTCAAAGGAGGCTGACACAAAGGAGGCTGATGCAGAGGAGAAGAAAGAGGCAGAGAAAGATGACACCAAGACGTCCAAAGAGGCCGAGAGTTCAAAGCACGAGAAGAAGGCAAAAAAGAAAGAGGCAGAAGCAATGGCAAATGCAAGCAAGATAGGTGAAGCCGAGAGTTGCAAGGCAAAGAAGACTTCGGATGACAAGGAAAGTGCAGGAGAAGTGCAGGGTGTCACAGCTAAGTTTCTGGATCGGCTGAACGCTGAGAGTATGATTATAGAAGAGAAGATCCGTGCCCAAGTCGAGGCGAGGAGACTTGCGAAAGAAGTGAGAAGGATGTCGAGAGATGATAAGGAAGCAACACAGGTTGAGAAGACATCCAAGGAGGGTGGGAGTTCCAAGATTGAGGAGAAGAAGAAGGCCAGGGCCAGTAAGGATGCAGATGGAGATGCAAAGGCTTTGAACGACAATGAAAAGGTTTCCAAGGAGGCTGAGAGTTCAAAGGGCAAGGAGCAGAAGGAAACAAAGACTAGGAAGGAAGCTGACACAGAAGCAAAGACAGAGGCAAAGAAAGATGAGGCGAAGACTTCCAAGGAGGCCGAGAGTTCAACACACA